AGAGCTCAGCTTGGGGATCAGGGATCCTGCCCCTTGTGGGGATGGATCCAGGAGAAAGAGCACCCAGGACCATTGGAACCCTGCTCTGAGCCTCCCCTGCAAACTCGGGCTCTTCTCCATCCCTCCTTGATACTGGTCTCAGCCATTCCCAAGGGAAAGCCTGGCTTGGTTTGTGACACTACAGGAATTTGGGAAGATGGTAAAAAGTACGCAGGGCTGGAGGCTGCAGCAGGCTTCCAAGTGGGGCTTGCTCTCAAACCGAGGAAGCACAGGGACATTCCTGATGGCATAGCACCGCCTTGGCTTCCTCTTCCAAGGAAGCCCTTCAGGTCCATGGCTGCAAATTTTCACCTCTTCTGCAGCGGGTTTGGTCACCCATGGAGAAGTCCCCCAGCAGGAGCCACGCCAAGGGGGACTAAGTCACCTCAGACCTGTCTCTGTGGGGCTAGGAGCAATGCTAGAGCAAGGAAAGCCCTGAGAGGAGGTGACATGCCACTGCTTGCCAGGCTGGAGCAACTAGAGACACAGCGAGGCACACAGGGCAGAAGGGACCCAAAGGCACCAACTTGAACCTTGCTCAGTGCCCGGGCTTGCCAGTGGTGGCACCAACAATCTCATAAGAGGCTCGTGAAGTGAAGGCCCTACAGGTGGCATTGGGCTACATCTTGCGCCAAGGGTCAGTCTCAAAGTGATGCCTCCTACCAGAACTGCTACTTGGGCACAGTCCAAAAGGGCAAGGGACAGATGTTGCATCTCTGCATTTTCTTCACTCCAGGTTGTTGCCAATGATGCCCTGTCACCTGGAAGAGCATCCAAGGGCATCTCCAGACTTCCAGCAGCAACCCATGCTGCTGAATAGCACTGCACCGGCCAAGCCACGCGGGTCCATCCCAAGGTGCCGTCTTTCCTGTCACTCCCATTGGAGCCCTCACGGGCCATACAGCACTCCCTGCTGCTCTGTGGGCCGGAGCACAGAGCCGCCTCTGACCCCGGAGCGCGGATGATTGCTTGGGGTCCGCGCACGGGAAGCACAAGATGGGAAACGTCTGAAGCGCACAGCTGGGCTCCATGTCCCAGAGTGGGTTTCTGTGAGATAACACGCATGTTTTGTAAAAGCTATCTGGAGAGGGCTCTGCTGTAACACAGCCTGGCTGCTGCGGCACCAGGACAGCCGCTGGTCATGCCGAGTGGGACCGCAGCTATTCCCCGTCCCCACAGCCTATATTCATCTGCAGCCCTTGGCCTCAGGTTATGAAATTATTTAAGGAAAGGATTACATTTCCTGCTCTGCGTTTGCTCAGCACCGACTGCGGGAAGTGGAGAACATCTGACCCAGAAAAGTCACCAGAGAGGGGACATACCGTGGCCCTGAAAGGGTGGCGCCCGGGTCCGGGCTCGCGGTGGACTCACCACGCTGTGTCTTGCCTCTCCACAGGCCGTATTCCTCTTTCTACGTGCCGGGCTTTTTGTCTCCGAGCAGCTAAAATGGGACAAGATGCCGTGCTCCGTACCAAAGTGAGACTAAACCTGCTCGCATGACGCTCACCCTTAGGAACAGTCCCCACGGAGACCCTGTGGGAGCCCGGGGGGGAACTGAATTACCCTTGGGGCTGCGTTTCTTCCATGCCGCCTCTCATTCCCATTCCACAGGCTGCCTCGTGGGCAGCTTGGCGTCTCCAGCCCGGCTCTGCTAGGCAGGATGCCTGCTTCACCGTAGGGAAAAAATGGGAAAAGAAACGTGCCGCTCTTGCAAGGCTTTCCTGCATGCAGGCATTACCCACCCTGAGCACTGCCCACACTCGCCGTTTTGCTGCTCTCCTCCACTTTGAAGATTCGCTCACAGTAATCTCACGGAAAGTATTTCCTCCAGGAAAACACGGTTCGCTCGATTTAAATTGACCTCAGCCAAGTGGCAGCTCCTCCACTCCCCCCTGCCTTGTTCTGACCGGGAGAATCGACGCAAGGCATTTCATTTCCAATTCAAACAATTACTTTAAAAGCCTAGTTTGAAATTAAAGGTCCAACCTGTCATAACATTTCATTTTTTGCCAATAGCTCTCAGACAGACCTTCCTCATGCCCCGCTGCAGGGGCGGCCATGCGTTTGGCAGCCACTTGCAAGGTGGGCTTCGCTGCTCAGAGGCTCCCTGCAGGTGAAATGGTTTCAGGGCATCTCCATTTTTATCTTTTCAGGCTCCCAGAATGGTAAAACTGGGTACAAAGACCCAGCAGATACCATGCTCACAGTCAGCATGGAGAAGAGCCCGGCCACGCCAGCCCGCCGCCCATGCCGGAAAGCAAAATTCCCTGCTAGGATGGGGACCAAATTAACACCACCAGCAGGCGCCAGGCCGGGAATGAGACGGGAAAAGGATGTGAGTCACTCAGCAGAGGCAACTGCATTTGCAGGGCAAATGCAGAGTTACTCTCATCTGAAATTAGTTTCCAGACAGCTAGAGAGCGTACCGTGCTCCAGCCCAAATGGGCCAGGGTTGCTCTCCAGGCAGGCTGTTATCTCAGGCTTCAACTGTGGAAAAACTTATGGCACTGACAAACTTGCTGGCACATGCTGGGGAGCTCAGCAGCACCTGAGGAGGAAAATCAGCTACGCTTGGTCTGCACCTCCATAAGAAAGCAATCAAGAAGGAATAAAGTCAACCCTAGGTTAAACATGTCTGCAGCCAAAGACCCACCTAGGATGGCTCTGGTTGCAGGTAAAAGCTCAGCCCCACACTCCCAAGCTATCCGATTTTCCAAGGGCAAGACACCTTTGCCAACAGGAGACTATAAACACGGAGCAAGGCAGAGCAGAGCAGCAAGCCCGGGAGTCCTCACTCCTGGCGTCCCTCCCACAAAGAGATGGGAAACCCATTAAATGCACCGAGCAATGAAGCTTCCACTGTTTCTCCCCAGGGGCAATTTCACAGTCGGGTTGAGGAAATTGTTCCTGATATCCAGCCTAAATTTTCCTTTGTTGATTTTCAGTTTAGCAGCAGAAAGGTGGGAGAATTATTGAGGTGAGTGGGGCCGCTCCAGGGGAATGAGCGCAGCAATGCACGGAGCTGCAATGGGAATGGGGCAGTGCTTGCAAGGAATCCCAGCATCCTCGAAACTGGAGATGGAAAAGTTCTATTAACTTTCCCAGTGGACCAACACGAGACTGTTCCCTCTTTTTTATTTTTTTTTAATGCCTTGCCCAGTCTAGCTATTTGACTGGGACCAGAACTCTGCAAAAATATGAAGGTGTTTCTTCTTTCTTTCTTTTTTGAAGTGCTGCATGGGGAATAAAATGTTGAGCTTTATGGCCAGATTTTGTTGTTTCATCCATGGGCAAAATCTTTGCCGCTTTGCCTATTGGACACGGTTTCTTATTCTGCCTAGCAAAAACCTCCAGAACTCTTTTGGGCCACGAGCCAGGTCAAGATGTGCGTGGCAACAAGTTGCTACTAGCTTGCGTTGGAAAATTAGAGCTTCTCTGGGTGAGAAATGAGACCTATGAGCTCTTTCAGCAGCAGGTAGACCCTGCAGAGCTCACCGGAGCATGCCCAGGCCATGCAGATGGGTTAGCAAGGGGGATACAAGGAACAGCACTTCCAAGCAGGCAGAGCCGCATGGAGACACCAGGTCTGGAAAACCTAGTCTGGGGGATATGTGATAGGAGCCAAAGGAGAAATGCTTGGGTGCAGAATGCCACCCAAAACCCGCATTGTCTCAGTCCAGCACAAATCTCCCCTTAACGAGGGCGAGTGCAACTCCCCTGCTTCCTACCAGGATGCAAGGACTCCCACACAGACAGTCATGGACCTCTGCAGGCTCATGGAAGCAGAGGGACATCAAGAGCTGGACCACGTAGACATCACCAGCAGATGTTTGCCTTAATAGCACACAGTTTTCTTAAATGTTAGATAGCTACAAGGCTCTAGAAGGGCATTTTTTTCACCATGTTTTTATGGGCTTGTAAAGGAAAAGCAGTTGTACACTCTTAGGAAATGTCAAGCTCTGTTTCCCGAGGACCTGCCATCTGTCAACATGCTGATTTTATCGCACCCTGTCCATGCAGAAGGGAGAGGAGGGCACGCTCGGACGTGACGACCTGGAAAGAGCTGCATGCAGCAGAGAGGAAGCTGGATGCCAAGAGAGTGAAGGGCTGTGCACTGGTATCCTGCCTGAAACCCACCTTCATCTCTGCTGCACTCATCTCTTTGAGGTGGCCCATCTGAGTGTGTCCTCCTCTCCCTCTGCCAACAGGAACACGCAAAGCGCAGAAGCTGAGAGACATCTGAAGAGCCCCAGCAGCCTCGGGGTGTGCAGGAGGCACCGTGTGAGCTCCAGCAGGCAGAAGAGCTTCTTTTGGTGCTGACATCCCAACTGCGAGGAGCTTTGCCCACACACCTTGCCATCCCAGCCCCTGTGCCATGGAGCTCCCTTTACAGCATCCTTTGGTGTCACAGCAATAAACCCCAGGAATAAAGTGTCAGCACAGCCTCAAGAACTGAACAGGCCCGTGCCTCACCTTCCCCTTCTCGTGAAGAGTCTAACAGCCACCACTCGACACTGCTAAGACCAGATGAGAGGAGAGGCTTGCAAGGAGGCTTGCAAAAAAGAGGGGAAAAAGTTATGCCCTGGTGTAGATGACCTTTCCCAAGGCAAAGCCTGGCAATGCACTAGTATTTCCCAGCCAGCATCTCCCATCCAGGAGCTTTTAATATCTCCACAGGATGCGGCCAATTCTGTGAGGGGACATGGAAGCTATTAAGCCCACAGATGGTGCCATGCAACAGTTTGGTCCTGCCACCCCTCTACTGAAGCACAACACAGTAGTGGTGATTTGCAGCAGGACCAGGCATTTCACTCAAACACACACAAAAACTTTAAGATCAAAACTGCCCAGGTGGTTTTGGAGTCCAGATGTGCCTGGAGAGGGGCACCACGGCAGCACAACTCTGCTCACCTTTATGTTTTCCCCAGTCCCTCAAGCAGAAACCCTTTGCACCCCATTTCTGGCCCCAATTCTCTAATTCTCTACTGACTTTGAGAGAAAAGCTCCTGTTCCCTGTGGCTTTTTTAGAAAAAAAAGCCTAGCTGAGAGGAATGAAACAGAGAGAGACATTCTCCATCTACTTCCTAAATGTTGGATAAGGGAACACATTGCACGGTACATTGCAAGTTTGGGATGTGGCAGGATACCAACTGCATTTTATGTGTTGCAAAACCACCTCCTCTGTGGCAGCTGAGATTTCAAGTGTAAGCTTTGACCTTGGTAATACTTTTTACATATTGAGTCACTGCCGACTCTGGAAAATGCTGGGATTTTGAAGATTTTTAATGCATGGCCAGATTCTCTAAGAACTGGGACAGCCCCAGCTGACAGCCCGCCTCTCCAGCCCTCTGCCACTCTTAATTAAAGGCAAAAGACGCTGAGTTTGAAAAGATCTAAGGTAACACAAAGCATCAGCATGGAAAATTGAAAAAAGAGGAAGGTGAGGATTCAAAAACCTGCCTTTTTGCTTCATTCTGCCTCCATTTGATCACAAGTTTGGTGTGATCAAACTACAGCACCAGTGGTGTAATCCCCATGTACTGAGTGAGAACATGAAGATACAAGGGATGGCTGACGGGATGACTCCCCAGTTTGGTATCCTCCTCCTGGGGAGGGTGGTCAACTCTTGGGTGCTTATGGGAAAACTAAGTGGATTCAGGGTCTTTACCCGCGAATACAATCAGCCTCAAAATTCTTAGGGGAAGGGGAAGTTGGACTCAATGGAGAGCCTTTCCCAAGAAAGAAAGCAAAGCTAGCGGCCTAAAGGACAAGGAAAGGAGAGAGTCCCTCTTTATATGTGACACCTTACCCAAGCTGTCTCTTCAGACTGTCCTTCTACCTAAAGGCTCCCCCCGAGATTATTTAACAGATAAATAACTCAATTCCCCTTTCTCCCTGATTCTCCTGGCAAGGGAATAATTGTCTCTGATAGCCTTGATTTGCTAAATAAAACACTCCTTGAAGGCTCCCTGCAATAATATTTGCACAGAAAATTGACATTCTTCCTCCTTCCCGCCAGCCCCAACGCCGTTTGTTTGTGAGTTAATAACTTCGACGCTCGGCTGAGCTATTGATCCCTTTCAGCACAATCATTCTTTTGGGGAAAAAATACACAAAAATAAAATAATGAGCAAGCAACGCAAAGCCCTGATGACCTTTCGGTGAGCGTTGTGGCACAGGCAGAACGCAGGAGCCTGGGTCTGTTGGGGACACCAGCTGGCTGCCAGGCACAATGTCACCTGCAGAAGTCCACAGACTGGCTGGATTTCCTTCTCCCTTCCTGCATGCCTGCCCTGGTCTTCCCCAAGGAAGCAACGTCCTTCCTTGCAGGTGGAAAAGTAGTTTTCATGACGCAAGTTTCCCATTTAGTTTTAAGTCATCAACACCCAACGAAGGCTTCATAACGAGATAGATGGTCCGTGTGGGTGGTTGGTTCACAGACCACTGGTGTGTGGGTACCAGCACCATCAGTTATAGGAAGGCAGATGTTTCTGAGCCCCGACTATCCAGTTGTTGAGGGATCTTTGGCACCGAACCCATCCCTACAAGCAGGGCATGATGCAGAGAGCCTGCTCTCAT